TGTACATATATATATATATATTTAGACACGTATACATATACATACCTGCATGATCTACTTATATGGATACATACACAAATGCACGTACAAACATGCATCGGCTGGATTCTTCACCTGTGTATTTGTGTGTGTGTGTGTCAGAGAGACATGCCATTTGTGGAGTGCATTGAATTTCTTTCTCACAGTTCCATGCCAGTTTCTCGGATATTGGAGGATCGAGACCGAGGTTTCGAGATTCGCATTGCTCGACATTGTTCAAACTTTCTGCCACACGAAATAGGCATTGCACGCAGAAGGCGTGTCCAGAGCTGCCTGCAAGACGGTTTGGGGTTTTCGTTGGTTGGGCACGACATCCTCAACCCTCAATTCTGTATCCTACAGGCGTCTGCAGCCCGCGACTATGAATTAGAACTTGTCATCGACCTCCTTCGGGGGCAGATGGCCTTGTTGCTTTTTGCAGCTGCAAGTATAAGGTCCAATACATCACTCAGGGTTTTGTCCTCGAGGAATTTCGGGCTTAGGGAGGGGGGGGTAAGGTTTTGTCCTCGTGCAGAGGCATTCGCGGAGGAAGCAAAACGCCACGTTCCGGACTCTTGGCAGCTGTCTATGAGTATTGCAATTGCTACTTTCTTCCAAAGAAAGCGTATCGTGTGAAACCGATTTTCGGACAAGCCCTGCCAGGAAGAGGTCGTGCGCCGGGCCCCTGGCTGCGACGCACAGGCTGTCGGAGTTGAAGTTTGGGACTGGGGTTGAAGCCTCTCGGTATTCCTCTAGCAGACTCTAGCCTGTTCTCACATTGAATGCGCGGGCCCGTGGGTCAGAAACTTAGTAGAAATTCGTTTGCTGTTCCGAAGCTGCAGCCGCAGGTGCAGAGCGAAGCGGTGCAGGCCCCTTCGCGGTAGGCGGTAGCATGGAGTTCTGAGTTTCAGGGTAGCTCTGTTCCACAGCCGCTGCCTTTGACGTTTACCGTTCGGCCAGGTCGCCGAAGCAGAAGTTCAAGCGACTGAAGTCATGGCTAGACCGTTCCTTGACGGTGTTGGCTTAATTATGTTGGGTTCATGTTGATCAGTTTGAGATTCGGATCTTGCAAAACTTTTGCATCTCCTGGACCCTTGATGAAAAAGGCGGGATGAATTTTTCTCTTTCTCTCTTTCCTGCGGACCCTCGATCCGCAGGCCACCTGTTGTGGCACGATGCGGTGTGTCCCAAAACTGCATGCTATAAATTCTGGAAAAGGTGAGACGAAGGTCGTTGGCTCCAGAAGCGATGAGCGGTTGTCAAGTTGTTCGCTGCCCCTCTGTGCTTCGCATAGCAATGTGGTCCTTGATCCACACTACGTGGGCTGGCATAGGCATAAAGTCTCGTGACACACTCGAAAGGGGACCCTCCTCTGTGGCAGGAGTTGCGAAGCGCTCAACGGCTCTTGGAGCTCTGGGCCCAAAAGCTTGTGCTGGTGCCACCACGTCGTCTCGGAGTCAAAGGTTTCAGGTAACAAATTGCTGAACGTGTTCCACATCGGACTTGATCTGGGAGAGCCAAGCAGTGCTTGGGTGAATGACCCAATGATTCCATAAAACTGTGTGAGCAGCTCCCGCGGTCCATGGAAAAAAAGACCCTTCGGAGGAACCCGACCCTCGCTTTGGCCGATGCAAGCGTCGCGGAAAGTGCTCGTGCCTCATGTAAAGCTCGAAAGCTATGAACCTGTTCAGAAGAGGACCTGCGATGGAACAGGGAACGCCAGAGATGCATGTAGTGTTGCTTCCAAATGCGCTTTTTGTATGCTGCGTGCAAGAGTCGAGCGGCACCAGTGAGTGCAAAATGCACGACCGAAGGTGGATAGGGGATTCACGCGCACCAAAGAATTTTACGCCAAAGCGGCCGTAGCGCGCCTGAGGCCTGCGCAAACCGGAAATGTAAGTCGTGACAATGCCCTCAAGGTGTCGATAGGACTCAGCAACCGGAACCTGATAGGTGACGCCGGTAACACTGTTACGTACAGGCAGCACAGTTCCGTGATCGGGGCCGTCTCGGAAGGATTTCTGTTCCAATTGTGTCGCCGAGTGGAAACAAGACAGCAGTCTTGTCTCTGCCAAACTTGACTGTCATGCCTGCAGCGGTGGCGAAGTCAACCACAGTACTGATGGCATCACGGGTGCGATGAACCAAGTCTGACGGACTAGCGCCGCCTGCGGTTTCACAAAGTCGCCCATGCGGGCAGCCCAAGCATGACGGAGATTCATGGATCCTTCGAAGGACACGTTACAGAACTCACGCGCAACCCAGCGTGCGGACATCACTTTTCGTGTCCCTGGAGTCACAGTGCTATCGAGCAATAGATGGGAAAAGTGACAAAGAGAAGTCACGAGTGACCCAAGGTAGCAATTGAAATGCCCCACGGCGGTGATAGTCATACGATACGGAGGAGAAAGACTGTGGCCTCATTTCCTGCAACGAAGGAAGAAGCAGCGGGCCCGTGCTACGCGGCACCACGCTCGCGCCTCGCGGCTTTCCATAGCACAGGCCGGCTGCTGGACTTGTTTGGGCTCTTGTGGAGTTGGGAACTGGGGTATTGCGGATTCAGGGCGTTGAGCGGCTTTCAGGATGTCAACGTTTGGCGTTCCTGAACACCTGCAATAAAGCCCAGCATGCTCCAGCATAGCGATTGCCCTCTTCGGTGTTGTGTCGATGCAGTGCTTCGTGAGGCAAAGGAGCTCCGCACAGGGAAATCCAAAGGAGGCGCACGGAAGCAGTTTGGTGAGTCTGGAAGACACGGGCTTGGAAGCTGCCGACGTTGTCCACCAGGTGCGCCGGTCTTCGCCGATGAAACCGAGATGAAGCATCTTGTTGCAAATTCAGGATTCATATCTCAACGTGTGCCGGAGGGCATTGCTGCACGTTTCTGCCGGCCCCAAGCATGGCGAAGCCTCACGCGTGCTCAACCAACGAGAACACAACATCACAACCCGCACCCAGGAAAAGCTTGCGGCAAGCCCTGGTCAAGGCCCCGTACAATGTCCATGTGCCTGGGACTGATCTAGCTGCGGACAGGCATTGAGCTTGAGTTCGGCGTCTACAAAGCTTGAGTTGATGATGGGTCGGCTCGCCGCATATCATGACAGAGTGTGACAAAGTCTTGTGCAAAAGGCTTCTTAATTGTAGCAAGCTTAATTCGGAGAAACATGGACTGCTGAAAGGCAGGTGGTATGGTGGGGCATGATCGGGTCGGCTGCGAGGGGTATGAAGTCTTGTGGAGCAGTTTCGACCGAAGCTTCTGACGAGTCTAAGCCTTTTTGCCTCATTGCGACTTGCCTTATTGGGCCTCTTTCGCATCAGGACTACTACCGCCCCGACGGGTTCCTTGTGCTTGAATCAGTGCATGCGGGGCTCACGAAGCATTTTGGAGAGCTGGAATGTTCATGCTTGAACTTCAGTTGTGTCGTGCACGCCTGGATAGAGTGTTCCGCTCTGCTCGGTTTGGTGCAGCATCTCTCGGTTAAAGAAAGCAGGTTTGACGAATTTCAGGCGCTGGGAACTGTGAGGCCTTAGAGGCTGGATGTTGGAGTTTCGTTGTCAGCAATAAGCAAGTGCGTTCAAATCCCGAGTACCCAGAGCTGAAGGTGCGCCCAGCAGATTGCAAGACATGCAATGTTCGAAAACTGCACGTTGGCGGCCAGGCAGCGATCAGTCTGCGAACCTGAATCTGACATCTGCTGTTTTCCCATGTCACAGCTTGGTGACGCAACAAAACCGTTGATTGAAGCACATTTGCACGGACATGTGGATACTGATCCCTGAGCCAAGCTGCTAGCTCCATCATCGCTTAGGTGGTGATTGTCCTGAACTGTCTATGGATGGCCATCGACACCGACAACAACCCTGCGGCGGTTCTCATTGATGCCCCGCCCGTCTTCCAGGCCCAGCTCACTAAGGGGTTTGCGGCAGCGGCAAGCACTGTCTGTCTGTCGCCGTCTATTTCAAGTTGAGAGCGCGTTCAGCAAGCTCGTTGTTGGAGTGCGCAGAGTTGGTGGGACAGCGTGGGAATTGAATTCAGTCGGGAAGTATGCTGACGCAATGTGACGCCATTGTCAGATCCTGCCCGTGAACTCGATCATGACTCGACGAATTCCTGGATGCTTGCTGATTCTGGTGTCAAGCTAGCTGCTAGCTAAACAAGAACGAGATAAGTAGCCATGATAAGGACCTACAGATAGATAGACAGATAGACAGACAGACGGATAGGGTCAGACGTTCGATCACTTGTCGCATGACCTATCAGAAACCGCCAGAAGCCATGACATCTAAAGCCCAACCCCCGCCGCAACCGTGTGCGGAAACCTCAAGTCTTTCATGGCTTGGCCGTGGGGGTGCCTTTACCGTTGTGCAGACAGCGGCAATAGCCAGTAGTCACGATCACCGTTTCCTTGACATCGCGTCAGGTGGCGGAGCATTTGTTCTGCACTTATTTCTTCATTGAGATCACGATCCGATTCCTGGCTTTTGCATCCCGGTCGGAACTTTCTGGGCCTTGCGATTGAATGAATCCCGACTACGTTTTCGTTCCTGAGAGCCGTGCGCAAAGGAGTACAAGTGCGACTGCTTTCGGGACTTTTGGTTCGTCTTCGACTTCTGTCTCAGCCTCTACATGATTGCCGAGACGACGCCCGGCGCAACACGACATTGAGCTCCAAGGGTTACAAAGACCCCTGCCTGCGTTCTGGCTCCTCTGCCTCCCCCGCATCTTGTGTGTTTGAGCAACAAAGGTGGATCTTGTCCATCGTCCTGGTTGTCGCCGACCTCCGGGAAACCGCTGCTCGGAAGAAATTAGTGAGACCTTGCACCTGCCCGCCCACCCCCCCGTCCCCCGCTCGCCCGTCAGAACTCTGCAAACACATTCCTTTTCTAGCAATCTAAGCTTCATGTGGAACTTCAGACCGAACTCGCAAAGCCACTTCTGCGGTCTGTGCAGCATTGCATTGGAAGAGCTCTAGCAAATGCCCTGCACCTCAAGGATTCGCTGTTCAGTGCAAACGTTCTTCGGATCATCCGCCATAGCCTCAGAACTTTGAAAGCTCACAGCTTCAGAAGGATGCCTTAGCGTTGGGTCTGGAGATGTCTGGAGCCCGGATCGTTTCAGGAGCCAGGTGCTAGCTTCGGATCTCTGAAGAGACAGATTGGGTTCGGGAGTTGTCCAAGTCTTCCCGAACAGCACTGTCTCTCTCAACCACTCAGCGGGACCAACACCAGATCGACACGGTCAGCGCCACACCTGAATCAGGTTCGCGGAAAGACGACGACCCACGAGGTCTCAAGATGTGACGGTTCTGAGTACCCTGACCCGACAAGCCCCAAGCGACAAGGCCCACTGACCTGAGGTCGAACCCGAATCTGCAGAATTCGTCAGGGTCTTCATTATGAGGGTTCAACGAAGGCTTATTTATACATAGAGGTCCTATTATTGCCGAACTAAGACCCAGGCATGGTGAAGATCCTTCGGCTCACGCGCATGGCGAAGCTGCTGCGGTCCATCCCAGAGCTGGGCATTGCGGCTTGGGGGCGGATTTCGGCTACAAGTCTGGGTCTGTACAGAGTGGGTTCTCCTTGTGTGTTGCTTATTAATGTTGCACTGTGTTTGGCATGCCACCCCCCAACCATGTCCCAGCGCCCTGAATAGCGTAGTTCGCGTCGCCGGGGTTTAGAGGGAGACAGGCTCTTTAGAGCGGTGTGGATTCGGCCTGTAGGAGACAAGCTCTCTAGAGGGTGTGGTAGTGGTGCATCCTGGCTGTGTAGAGGCGGTAGCAGTAGTACAGGAGTTACTAAGTTACTTGTAACTAGCAACACAGCAGGAGAGTAGAAGTACAGTACAGTAGTACAGTAGAGATGCAGTAGTAGTACAGTAGCAGTACGGTAGTAGTACAGTAGCGCAGAAATAGTAGCAGTATTACAGCAACACAGAGGTAGCACCGCAGTACGGTAGCAGCTTGGCGCAAAATCTCGAAACAAAACCCCGACCGCTTCGAGATAATTAACAAAACGAAAATTAAATCATTTTAAAGAGTTGTCCCTTCATCCTACACTCGCCCTCACAACCGACCAAGCCTGAGGCCTAATACACAGAAATTTCCTCCGGCCGCTTGTTATCATCGACTCAGCTAAGACCACTAGCAGCAGGAAGATGCAAAACACAAATTCGGGCGAGTTTTTGCACATTACAGACGACCGGCCAATAAGTTGCCAAACTCCCGAAAAAGCATAGGACAAGCATCATCGAGGGTCACCAGTGCAGCACTAATCTAGGTCTACCCAGGGTTTCTGTTGCATGTCCTGACAGGGTTTCGTGGCTTCTTCGTGTTTTCACTATTTTGCTTGGTGGCTCCGTTTGGTTTCCCATGTTTTCCTTGTGCTGCCCTTACCACGTTTACATACATTTGCTTGTACTTGTAGATTTTATTGTCCAGCCGGTGTCCCCCCTAGACTTCTGTTTTTCTTCACAGTGGCTCCTCTTTTTTTTTCCTATGGTTTCATTTCCGGCCCGATTCCCTACAAATCGTTCATGACCAGAAACTTAGTTGTGTTTGCAGTGATGACATTGCTCATTTTTGTGACGTAGTATCTCCTTGACATGCTCCTGCGATGCACTATCGACTTGACATGCTCCTGTGATTCCATGTTGTGCCTCAAGGTGGCCAAGGCAATCGGTGCAGCTGGCCGCTCACTCTTGGTGACCGAAGCTGAATCTCACTTTCCACTTCTTTTGTGTTGTCAGGAATGATTGATGTGGATCTGTGATATGTACTTTGGGTCATAGTTTCATCTGCCCCATGCAGATTTCCCTTGCATCAGGTGATTGCAGCCTTTTGTGTGATGGTCCTTTATGTTTTCGCCTTGCTGATGAAGCAGATCACAGATATGGCTGCTTGCCAGAGTATGAATTTTCTGATCTTATGGGCAGGTTTTCAGCTACGAAGATTCAGGTGCAGTGTAGGTGTCTGCTGAGAAGAGTGGCGGGTTGACAGGGGAAGCACCCAGCAAGCCAGGGAGTAAGCAGCGGCATTCCGGCACAGGTCAATTTGAATATCATCGGGACTAGTTGAAGCCCAGTACTCCCGTGCCCATCACATTGAATCACGACTCGAGCGCTCGGTCAAGATTCGAGCGCTGCGATTCAAGCATGTGGGATTCCAGCGCGTGTGATTCAAGCACGGCGTGCATTTTAGGCCAGTGCCATCCGAGCAATTCCGATTCAAAATCTTGTGATTCCCTCGGTTCGAGCATTGAAAACTCAAGCACACAGGTCATTTCAGGCACGGTACGAAGAGGATTAAGTTTAGGGGGCCCTGTGCTGTTGGGGCATTAGGGTTTAGGGTGTCTGGGGCTTGTTTGGGTAGGTTTAGGGCTGAAACAATGTAGGGTTTAACAATGAATTACCCTTCACGGTCTTTAGAGTTCCAGGCTTTTCGGGTTTAGGGTTTTGAGGATCCAGGGAATCCGGGGTCTTCACGTTTCAAGGCTTGTAGATTTAGGGTGTATGTAGGGTTTACATGAGTTTTACACTTCGTTTGTGTCCTTCGGGTCCAGAGCGCGACGTCTCCAGACCACGCATCCGACGCGTGTATTTTCAAACCCTGCTTGTGAGAATGTCCCGGCCTCCTTGTACGAATCGGCCAGTGGGCGACGTCCCTGCCGCAGTGTGTGCGTCTGTTGTTGTCTAGCGAGTGTGTCCGTGAGCCCTGCATGAAGCAGCCGGTGGGTGCGCAAATCGGCTTTTCAAGTGCCCGAAGTGGTTTCGCACCCTGCTCTCCAACATTCCCCGACCCAAATTCTGCAAATACAGAAGCCATTGCGTCAGTTCCTCGAGGTGCAGGAGCCACCAGCAGACTCTGCACTTACTGCGGACTTTGCCACCGTGGCGACATCCATGCACCACAGCCGCAGGAATCTGTGCGTAGCGTGTTTGTCGATTCGAGGCACTTTCCCGAGCAGCTTTACTTTCAATTAGGTTTCTTGAAAGGTTCTTGGAACTCGAAGGATGGTACCATGTGGGATTCGATGTGTTGGCTTGCTTGGAGCTGGATATGCCTATGCATGGAAAGCGCCTAACTCCCCCACCTCTTCGGCCCAGCACTTGCGATCTTGGAGACGCTGCCCCCAAGCACGTACGAGCTTCAACACGGCCAAGGAACACCTTGCTGCTGAAGAGCATGTTCGCAGAGAGCGCAGCTTGCTTTACTTTGGTTTCAGTTTTGCTTCGTTCTCCTTTAAAGGTTGAGACTTCATGCGCCGTTGGATTATGCACCATGTTTACCGAGTTCTCCTCCAGGCCGATCACGTGTTGTCTCTTTGTATTTACTTCTGCAGTGTGCAGTCATCTTCACCACAAAGCATATGCAACACGCCGCGGTCCAGGACCTGCCGATGCAACGTAACATGAAGCGCCTGCACAAGGAAACCCATCACATTGCAATAGAAAGCATCGCAGCACAACACAGTCTGCGACTAGGATAACCCGCGGTACTACGTGGTGATGCGAAACAGTGCGTTGTACCACATGGTTCATGATCGTGCACGACAGCACGGCGGTTCCCAACAAAGTTCATGATGACGCACGGGACTTTGTAACAGCAGAGCGCTTCTCTGCTACTGCGGGAGTTGAGTCCGGTAAGTTATCGAAGTCTACATGGCCAAGACTATCTACACATGCGCACGCACACCCACATTTTCAGGCTTCCTTTGTCTACTCCCTGGCGGCCTGGCATCCTGTCTTCTGGCCTTTTGTGGTGCTCTTCATCTTGATCACATCAGTGCCTCGGACTGCGGCGAGTCGTCCTAAAAGGCCACCAATAGGTTGCCTGCGTTTCTTTTTTGCATGCCATTTGCTGCCAGGTGACCATGATGTACATGCTGATTGGCGTGATGGTCACTCGCTGCACTTTTGGATTCCTCAAACCGGGAGGGTGTCTGTCGTCGCCTCGCCGTCGCCCATTTTCGTTCAGGTGAACGTGGTGAACTCCGTGGCGGCCTCCGAGCGCGAGGGCTCCACCGTGCCTTTGGCCAAACAGGACTCCCCCACTTTGACGTAGCAGAGCCCAAGCTCAGCAGCTCCCCTAGCCCCCCCCTCTGAGGTGAGCCTTATCGCCCAGTCTCTTCGACAGGCACCGGCCGGGAGAGCAGAGCGGGATTTTGGAGCTGCAGCGCGTTGGTTCTTTGATTCCCGCAGATTAAAACCCAGAAGCGCCGTCCTGCCATGAAGCTAGTTGTAAGTCTTTCCGAGTCACATGGCCTCGCCAAGCATGAGACTGGCTTTGCTCGCAGCTCCTGCTTCTATCTGCTTCTCTCTCCACGAGCAAAACAGGTCATGTCAAAGCTGGGAATGGATCCGGCAACTTGGATGGAAATGGAAGTCGGAAAGAGGTTCTGGTATCCTTAGCTTCACGAGGATGGTCCTCTCTCCAAGCAGACCGTCACCGATCTGCTGCTGGATGCGGAAGTAGCCCAGTTCTTGTGCCTTCGGCTGCGTCGTGTTTGTGCTGGGGATTTTCGGTGAAACGGGCTTTCTTCTGTTTTTGACTGGAAGTAACATGCCAGCTGTGGGAAGTTTACGTTGTGCGACTTTGCGGAAGCCTTGAGGTACAGTTTGGATGTGGACAGCATCGTCATGGTGGCGCTGCCGGCAGCAAACAGAAAAAACACAATTGGAAGCGCTAAGTCCCGTTGTTGCGCGGCTCTGCGCCGCTGTCCGAGGAGATGCTGGATACTTTCTACGAGGACATCATGGAGAAGGAAGGCCAGAAGAGGGATCCAGGAGAGAGGAGAGGGGAGAGACACTCTCAAGGCATGTCAAGGCCAAAGAAAGCGAAAAGCCCCAGCCGCCCCAAAGCCAAAGGCCGACAGATGAACTTCGAGGACCTGGTGCCTCGGCGAAGAGTGCTCGTTATGCACGTCCTCCAGTACTGTCTCCAAAAACGCCTTCTGAAAGGGACGGCAAAGCGCATGCGAGGGTGACGCAACACATAGTTACCCACAGTGTGTTCTTCGTGCAGCTCCGAAGGTGGATGGGCTGCTGAACCTGCGTGGGACGAACCCGGCGACGGTGCAGGCCGGATGCATTGCCCCTGGAGAAACACCCTGGCTGCAAGCGCAATAGATCGCGGCGGTGGTTTGCCTTGAGAGCGCTCCATGGCAGGACGTGAAGGGATCCATTCGCGCCTCGGTCCGTCAGAGAGGAATCGCGGAGGGTCCGTTTGTTGTGAAAGGCGCCGTCGAGGTGAGTGAGCCAGAGGAGTAGCAGTTGACAGTCGAAGACAGATCCCCCGCTCAGTGAAGCCTGCAAGACCTGTTCAAAGGAGGCTTCACATCCCAGGGTTGTGATTTGGCTTGCCACCACACTTTGGATTCACTTACCCTCGCGATGGGACCGCCGAAAGCGAACCACGACGGCCTTGAGCCCCTCTCCTGAAAGCAAACAGCCCAAACAATGGAGCGTCGGCGCACCTTGAGGCATTTTGAAGACCAGCTTCACCAAGGAGCTGTCTCTTTGTCTGAACTTGACATCACTGCAGGGTACAGGCACAGGGATCTGGTTCAAGCCTTCTACAATGGTCGGGAATTGTGGCAAGGTCAGACCTGCGCAAGAGCCTCCTGGGCGAGATCAACACTCTGCGCCTGTGCCAAGTATTGCCGATCCAAGTCTCCTGGCGCCTGAAGCTCACACTCGGAACAAGCCGAACCCAGGAAGATCGACCTGCGCGACGGGGGAGATTTGGAGTCAAGCGGCTCAGAGCACGACGCAAGTTGAGAGGCGAAGACCTTGCCACGACTGTTTTTTTTTTTTTTTTTTTGGGNNGCTTCGTTCGTCGGCGGCATCTTGCAATCATCTTCAGGGTGTTAGCATGTGTTAGCTTCTTGGGAGCTTTGAAGGTTTCCGTCATCGAGAAGTCCAGCAACAGAGCATCGCTCGTCACTGTCACTGGCTCGCTCATTTCACCTGGAGGTCTAGCGCCTGCCCTCGTCGATGCCAAAGAGATCCTCTGGCCGAATTCGATTGCACTTTGAGCTTGCTGCGCCGATGTGCGGCTTGGTGAAATGGCCATTCCGAGCCCAGCGCCCAGCGTTGGTGACGGCAGGCGTCGCTTTGTGCTTAAGAGCACTCAGCCGAGGGCAAGGGCCTCGAAGAGGCCTGGCCCAGAGGCCCAAAGGAAGCATCGCGCGAGGTCAAAGCTGGGCAAGCAAAAGCTGCTACAGTGCTCGTTGCAAAGCGGAGCGAAGCAGAATTTGAGTTGGTTAGGTTGTTGCAGATGTGGCTGCCGATGGCCTCATGGTGGAGTTCGCGCAGCGAGAGCCGCAGGCTGTTCTTTCCAGCAGCACTCGATACCTTCAAGTTCAAGGTAAGATCGCCAACAGCCTGCAGCTTTGCTGGAAGTGGCTTTGCCTGCGTGTCGCCTGTGTCCTATACACGTAGAGGCCTCTGCGCAAACGTCTTGCAGGAGAAGCGTGGCACTACCCAGACGACCATCTACTTGGCCGCTAGATCCTGTCTGGTTAGATACTGCAGGCTGTCCTCCACCATGAAGTCCGACCCAGGTTCGAACGATCGGATCCATAGTGGCCACGGCCGTCGTCGGTATCGGAATGAACGGCAAGGACGCACAGCTGCCACACTGCTCAGCAGGTTAAAGCCGCCCGAGTCCCCGCAGCTCTTATGTAGATGTCAGAGTATCGCCGCATCACTTTCCCCGTGTGGTGGCGTGGTAGACAGGCCAAGCCTGAGTGGCGCACTGTGCAAAGCTGTGCAGTTCTGCTCAGTCAGGAGTACAACGGCACTTTTGATTTCACTTTGCGCTTCAACCAGGCGCAACTTGCTACGACTCATCCCTTCTCTTGCTGCCGTCCCGTGCCTTTACTTCTGGTCATGTTGACGGCATGTCGGCTAAGGCTTGCAATGAAGCTCTATGAACATGATCAGTGCTCAAGTTGGCAGGTCATGCTCATCTTTGCCGCCCCGGCAGGGCTCATGATCCCAGTGTCGTCCGGGTCTGAGCTCTCAGGATGCCTGGGCCCGCGCCCTGAGGACACGTGGCTCCGTCCATCGCTTCTCATGGCTTTGTGAGAACTGTGTCCGGCCAGATGTTGCATCTACGGGCATAGCACAACGTAGCGATGTCAGAAAGTTCAGCCGGAGAAATGCGGCGTTCTGCAAGCATGCTTTCAGCCGTGGAGTCGCTCGGGACTCCGTGCAGTCCAAGGTGGTTCCTGGTTAAGGACACTCCCGTCCAGCAGGTGGGGGAAATCTGCGACGATCTGAGTCTAAAGAAGCAAGCCGCTTGCAGGGCCAGCGCCGGTCCCTGCGGCAGTACCTGCGCCAGGCACCGGTCTTGGCAAAGAGCTTCGGCTTCGCTGCACTTCGGGATCTTCGGGTTTTTTTTGAAGAACTTGGGGTTTGTTTTCCTCTGGCCTGTCTGCTCGGTGCTTGGAGGCCTGGGCATTGATGACGCACAAGGCGGGGCGTTTTGGCAGGCGTGTTTGCGGGCGCACGGGTCTCTTTGCAGAAGCAGCACCTTAGCGAGCTCGAATCTTGGAGGGTCTTCTTTCGCACTTCGACCGTCAACAGCAATGTCAATCAAGACCACTGGCTGAGCACAGAGTAAGGAGACGCGAGTAAATGGAGCGATGCATGTTCAGAATTCAGGGTTCTCGGGTGAATTCCCGACTGCAACACGAGTATTGCGTTTCAGCCTGCTCAGGCAGTCTTTATGGTGGCAACTCGGCTGCATTTCAACAACGGACCACTTAGAGTGACGAGTTTCGTGACTTCCTGAGGTGATGTGGAACTTCTGGGAAGCGGTGATCGGCCGCATTAACACCACAGCCTCGGGATTGGTGAAGAGCCGCTCTGCAGAAGCCAGGGTTCTGCAGGGATATGCCCAAGCCAGAAGCATGTGAAAATCCAGTATGCCTGGACACACTTGCGCTCAGATTAGATTCGAACTCCCCCGAGGTGAATGGGCCGGCGTCAAGAATTTCCAGAATCAGCGTCTCAGTTTAAGTTTAGATTAAGATTGCGATCCGCTGGAAGCTAGGTGTGCTGTGCCGTAGGCCTCGCCTGAAAGAGTCGAGAGGGTTCAGGGCTGAGCAGGTGTTCCATTGGCCTTGTGTCACCAAGCCGGAGGGTTTGGTTGAATCATTGGATGGCCTTCTTGCTTTGGGGGTCTTTCCCCCTGAATTCAGGCTCTTTAGCCTCGTGTCGCTGATGGTGTTCTCCTATGGCCTCCACATTGTGAAGACTCTCGGCAGTTGTGAGTTGCACTTTCCAAGGAAGTGCAAAACCCTTGGCCGAAGCTTGGTGGGCCTCGCTGCCCACTTGAGGCTTTGAGGCTGAAAGGGCTCAGGTGCAACGTCGGCAGTCAGTAGCAGTTTGAGGAGCTGATCAGCTGTCGATCGCTGCATCAATTCCATTTCAACATCGTGACCGCAACTTCTAAGGAAGCACCTTCTTCACTGCAGTGCCTCAGCGGCATCTTCGCCTGATGCGAATTGGAAACCCCGCACAGTAGCTCTTCTACCTGCAAAGCCCATTGCAGGCTGGCGCAAGATGCTTCTGGGCACGGGTATCTTCTTGAACGTGATGGATGCCACTGGACTGCTGTCTTGAGGAAAGCATCCCATGTCGAATCTCCGACGTTTTCTGCTTCTCACGGCTGGACGGTCGAGGGCAACACACCAGACACAAACCGGTTGCAAACATGTAATCCCGAGAGGGCGTGGAGGGAGACCTACGGGGCCGCCCCGTGCTTTCCGTTCTGAAAATCCAACTCCTGAAGGGAACCTTGGCATTGCTGACCACCTACGACATTGTCCGGCGCCGAGTTGGGAGATTGGCCTAGGTGCAGCCTCCGGATCTGCTTTCGATGTTGAAGACCTGCTCTCCAGCAGTTCCCCAAATCCACGATCCCGATGTGTAAGACACGAAGCGCCAAGATGAAGGACACAAAGCTACCTTCCGTCCCTCAACCCTGAAGCTTGGTTGAGTGTGTCGGTGCTAGGTACGAAACCAGTACTTCTACCTGGGCGAGCAGATCCTGGATGATATACCAGCAGCGGCGAACTTCGCCGTTCGGGGGCATTTTAGGGCTGTCGCCCCTACCGTTTGTTGAGGGTTCAACTCCGGGATTGATGATGCGAACACGCGAGTAAGGATGCTCAACGCTGTAGGCGATCTGACCTTGAGTTTGGCTTGAAATGATAGCGGTCGCTTGAGGAATAGTGTAATGAGTTTGCTTACTGGTTTGGGTTCAAGGAGTTCTCAGCTTGTCCAGGTCATCGGCACTTTCATCGTCGTCGAGCTGGCGGACCAGGCGGGATTTACTCGCGATTCGCCGCACCGGGCCAGTTGGGAGCAGTCGACTCCCCCAGCATGACTTGAGACGCTGTGATGTTCGCTGAGTCTGTCAGAAGTTGCCAGATCGTAACGACAATGCTGGGGCAGTGCTTTGCTGGAACTGAAATTGCTGCCTGTAGCAGGGTTACTACCAGGACGGCGATTACAAATACCTACATTACCACCATTATCAATCACAACTACCAGCAAGACGACGACGATGTCGGTTGCCGCTGCTGTTGCTGCTGCTGCTGCTGCTGCTACTACTACTACTACTACTACGACGCGCCACCGAGGCGGTTTGCCCACAACACTCCCCCACTTCTTCTTTTTTCGCACCTACATGACCGAGAGCACACAAACCGAAATAATCATGTTAAGTATTGCCTACATGCGTTTCGCACCCACATGACCGACAGCATACAGACCCAAATAAGCGTGTGAGGTATTGCTTTCGCATTTGCATGACCGGAAGCATGCGAACCGAAACAATCATGCTAAGTATTGCCTCATGCTTTTCCGCACCTACATGACCAAAAGCACACAGACCCAAATAAGCGTGTGAGGTATTGCATTCGCAACTACATGACCGAAAGCATACAAACCGAAATAATCATGTTAAGTATTGCCTGCATGCATTTCGGAACCTACGTGACCGAAAGCACACAAAACCGAAATAATCATATTAAGTATTGCCTACATGCTTTTCGCGCCCACATGACCGACAGCATACAGACCCAAATAAGCGTGTGAGGTATTGCTTTCGCACATGACCGGAAGCATGCGAACCGAAATAATCATGCTACATGACCGGAAGCACACAGACCCAAATAAGAATGTGAGGTATTGCATTCGCAACTACATGACCGAAAGCATACAAACCGAAATAATCATGTTAAGTATTGCCTACATTGGCCTACATGCTTTTCCGCACCTACATGACCGACAGCATACGAACCGAAATAATCATGTGAAGTATTGCCTGCCTGCCTGTCGTACCTACATGACCCAAAACATACCGAAATAATCATGTTAAGTACTGCCTACATGTCTTTGACACCTACTTTGTATTTTACATCTAGTGTCTCTGTTGTATTTCACAGCCTGCGCCCCTTCAAGAGGTGCCACAGCGTGGCATTGGCGCCTATCTTTGGCTGTACGGATGCCGCGTGCTTGTGGCCGTTCACGGGCTAGAAAAGTCAGCGTCAATCGAGTCGTGCTGCAGTCTGATGGGAATCGAGTCATGTCCAAGGCCCATGTGAATCCATGGTTCTCAAATGTGAAGATGCACGCTGACTTTTCTAGCCTGTGAACGGCCACAAGCACACGGCATCCATGCAGCCAAAGATAGGCTCCAATGCCACGCTGTGGGACCTCTTGGAGCTGCGCGGGGTGTGGTGGGTCTATGGGTTGAAAGCAATGTGCTCCATCCTCCGCTCAACCCCAAGCCCTGAACATGCAACCCATAGCAGCTAGACGCTTCAGCACCGTGCACAAGTGGGGAGTATCGGGTCCAGGCTTTGGGTCTGAGGGAGTGGGGCTAACAGCAGCATTTTTGCCATAGCGATGTCTGCAGCGGGTTGTCTTTTTAGGACAAAACTTAAAACCAGTCCCAAAACGGCCGGTACTGGGAACTCACGTAATGCCCGAAACACCGGCCCTGCGCACGTTTCCTGCACCTTTCCAACAGGGGCGCGGGCAAACGGCAGGGGTGGGGCTTACTACTACTAGTACTACCTCCTACTACTACTGCTGCTGCTGCTGCTGCTGCTACTACTACTACTACTATTACTACTACTACTACGACGACGACGACTACTACTACTACTCTACTAGTACCACCACCACCACCACCACTACTACCACCACCACCACCACGACGACGACGACGACGACGAATACTACTACTGCTACTACTACTACTACTACTATTACTACGACGACGACGACTACTACTACTACTTTTGTAGAAGTGGGTGACAAAACTACTACTAGTACTAGTACTACTAGTACTACCACTACTGCTACCACCACCACCACCACCACCACCACTATACTACTACTACTACTCCTCCTACTCCTACTGCTTTTGCTACTGCTTTTGCTACTGCTACTGCTACTGCTACTGCTACTGCTACTGCTACTGCTACTGCTACTGCTACTGCTTGCTACTACGACGACAACAACAACAACTACTACTACTCCTACTCCTACT